TGCGTTTTCCACCCCTTACAACCATGGGGTAAACCAAATAAATTATTGGCTAAGTGTCTTTTTTGGTAGAACAAAACGTCAGGTCAATTTCAATATTGTAACTTTTTCAGTGCTTGTGAAGCAAACTGTTATACAAATTTTATGTACCCCTTTTAAGGAGCTGTATCTTAACAAAGGATGCTCCAGTGAAGTTTCTTTATATGAAAGATCTTATCTTTTTTTCGATGAGGAATCACCTCCTTGAATGTTTTACACTTATTCAGTTACACCCTGTTTAGGTGATGCAAAGAAGTAACTTTCAGACACTTACTGGAAGAAAAAGCCCTCCTGAAACAGCTATTTTCATATAAACATTAAACTACACGATAGAAAAATACTTTCGAAACGAATACTTTTTAATGATCACTGAATTATACAAAAAACAACCTTCTCTATTCAGTTTGAATTCCAAACATTCGTTATGGAATTGAAACAGAGGATTCACAGGATTCCTACAAAATATAGTGAATGAAAGAGTAAAAATTCACTTACATTGAACACTATCATCCTCATTCATTCATGATATTACGACTTTATGTCACGAAATGAGATTCCTTCGGCTGGGATTGAATCAAATAATCGAATGAATGGCACTATGTACTGTCATCGATGACATCAGTAGATTGAACTCATTCCGTAACATAAAGTCGTAACTTCTTCATGAATTAATTGAGAGTTTTTCCTCATAATATTATCCAGATTCGGTACTGAAGAGCTGATAAGGCAAATGTCTTACGGCGAAACATCGAATGTCTACCAGTGAGGATGACAGTGTTCTTATATAAGTGAAATTTTACCTCTTTCATTTACTATATATTGTTTTGAAATCCTGTGAATGATATCTGATTCAATTCCAAAGAATGTTTGGAATACAAACTGAGTAGAGAAAAGTGTTTTTTGTATAATTCAGTGTTCATATAAAAGTATTTGTTTCGAAAGAATTGTTCTTTCGTGTAATTCAATGTTTATATGGAAGTAGCTGTTTCAGGTAGCCTTTTCCTTCCAGTATGTGTCTAAAAGTTACTTCTTTGCATGATCTGCACATCTTTGTAAAGAGTTACTTTTTTGAAATTGATTGTTTTCACCTTTTTTTTGTAAGAGAAGTAGAAAGCCTTTCTTTCCCACTTCAATTAACCATTTGAAATCTAAACTCATTAACTTCATAAAGCAATGTTTCGAATGAACAACGTAAAAAACTAATTGAATCATCAAGTGAAGGAACTGAATGTTATTGTTAAATGGAGCTCACTCAAATTGGCCACCAATTATATCGAAAATTATTTTCAATTATAAGCAAGATGAAGTTCAACAAACAGCAGCTTCCTTTAAAAACGGTACCACAAATCCAACCAATACATATACACAATGTTTTGATGTTACTTATTCAACGATTATACTTTTCTATGTTATAATGAACACAAATTTATTGTTCAATAATGTTTTCAAAAGGTACAGTGTCCATTTTAGAGAAATGAACCTTTAAAACAATGTGTATTTCTTATCGATTTTTCTGGGGAATTTGACCCTCCACAATCTGAGACAGGTGTAGAAAATGTAAACTCTTTAGTCCATGTTGATAAGTTACTTTGTAAATTCGAAGTACTTTCCGCTAATTTTACTATTTATCAGTAACTTGTCGTGCTTATCTTAATGGTGCGAAGGCTAAAATCTGCCCCCGTCGATTGGAAAAACTTTCTTCATAATAAGTGACTGGTTCAAAATATTGAGTTTCGTTTTGTTAGTATTTTTTTGCGTATTACAAATATAAGTTGTCTATTCATTACGTTTCATTCTATTCAAATACTTTGAAGTGGGAGAAAAGGGCAATGAAAGGTAAAAAAAAAGAATAAATAGAAACATTTGAATAGAACCTAAGAATGTCTTCGAAAATGAAAAAAATTTGGACTATCTATTTTTCATGAATAGAAAGAACGTTTTCTCCAAATGGCCGTCGAGATATCTTTTGAATACTTTCACCATCAACGCTGGGGTTCCACAGGGATCCATATTGTCTCCAACCCTCTCTTTATTGTATATCAACGACTTATTGGAAAAACCAAGAATCCATTATATTGCTTTGATGACGACAGCACACTTGTCTTGTCATTCCATTTGGACTCCAGGACATCAGCTACGGAGGCACATCTGCACCGGCACCAAGAGGTTGCATATCTTAATGAGGATTTAGAAGTGATTTCGAATTGGGGTGAAAGTAACCAGGTCCAATTCAATGCTACAAAATCCCAGGCATCGATTTTCTCCAAGAAGATAAATGTCTCCGAACCGGATACAATAATGTCAGGTCAGACAATTCCGCTTTCTGCGCTTTCTTCCGATAAGTTTGTTGGGGGTTAAAATGGACACCATTTTGTTTTGACACAATCATGTCTCTGGAATTGCAAAGACTGCTTCTCAAAAGCTTGGAACACTGTTCCGAACCAGAAGACTGTGTACACCTCAGCAACTTTGGGTGCTTTATAAAGCTCAGATCGGACCTTCTTTGGAGTATTGTTCTCATGTATGGAGCTCTGCCCCCAAACATACCCTGACGTTGCTGGATTCCATCCAGAAAAGAGCCATCCGCCTGATTGGAGACGAGAACATCACGTGCAACCTTGATAGCTTGGAACATCGGTGAAAGGTTGGAGATTCGTCTCTCTTCTATAGATACTTCCACGGGAAGTGTTGAGGTTCAACTCAGTACACCTCGAACTTCACTGTTTAAGAACTTTTTCATCTGGAGAACTGCGTTTATTAATCTTCAGCGATTCAAATCCAATGTGGATCGCTACTATCGCACCGGAACCGCTCTGAGAGCGCCTTAAGGATTTTCCTGTAGTGCTTGCGTTTGTTCCGTGAAAAAAGTAAAGTTAAAGTGAACGCTACTTTATAAACGAAGACTCAATGTCGGGAAAACTTTGGTGCTGTAATTTCTTGAGTGGTCCCTCCAGCATCAAATTTTGAAAAGCTATAACAATATGTAGATACATACGTACATGAAATTAGATAGTATCAGTCGTAAGTGTAGGCTAGTTTTTCAGAGCTTTTTTTACATCGGCATTAATTAGCTCATTTCAGTCAATGAGGAATTCAAAGTCCTGCATAGTAATTTAAAAAAGTTCAAAATGGAACTTGGTGGAATTGAATTTGGCACATAACCTCTTCGAAAAATTTTGACAGTTAAGACTTTTCAAGTTATGATTTCCATTCCTAATCCCTGCTTCAATTTTTCCCACTTACGGCCAGTATTAGAATCAGTGAGAAAATTGATTTCTAACAGTTTGAAATAGAATACGGTATTGCGAAAGTTAGCTCAATTTCTGTCATTTTCTTCTGATACTACTACTTCTCGAAACTACACGAGTAGCGGTCCTGGTTTAACTTGAAAAATAA